TTCATAGTTATATCTTAATATATATTAAATTATTATGTATATAAAATTCAACTCAAATATTATCAATACAAATATCACTTTAAATAGGTGTTTATACGTCAAAAATGACATTTAATTTATTAAATATTAATTTAAACTCTCTTTGGGTTTATATATATATATATATATATATATATATATATACAGGGCCTAAAACTAACTTGCATTAAAACCAGAAAGAGCATGACATAGTAAAGAGATGCAAAAGGGGCCAAGAACTGTCCCTCTCTAATGCCTGAAACCTCACTGGAGTGCAATAGTTTCTCTTCCCACACACACATGGAAACAGGGCCTAAAACTAACTTTTTGCCACACCTGCCAATGGCCAGTGACGTGATAAAATTTACCAGCCAAAATTTTTTTTTACCAGCCATGAAACTCTTTTTGCAAAAACAGGCAGTCATTACTACTACAATGACTAAACATATTTACAATGTTTTTAATTTTTTCTTTACTTTACTTACAAGAAAAACAACAACAAACAGATTTATTGATTTGTATATATTTTTTTGTCCCTAAAAAACATTGAGATTCTTGTTCGGCAAACGGAGCAGGCCATTGTGTTACACCTGTTTCACATACTCAGTTTGCAGTGCATATGTGGTGCGTATTTTTTTCCACATCCATGTTAACAGATTAGAGCAGGGCTATATAATTAGCTTCATTTGAGGGCCGAATTATCAAACTGAAAATTTGAAGGGGGCCAAGGGGATGGGGGTCGTTCCGATCTCTTTCTGGGGGGACCTATAAAATTAGAAATTACATTTTAATCGAAAATTTGAAGGGGGCCAAGGGGGTGGGGGGCATCCCGATCTCTTTCTGGGGGGACCTATAAAATTAGAAATTTAATTGAAATCGGAAACATTAGTGCTGTCTGTCAATCAATTAAAAAAAATTATTAATCACATTTTTCTGTAATTAATCATGATTAATCGCATATTTATAGTCACAATTTCACATTGAACCTCCAAATTAATGTAGAAACAACATGAAGATAGTATATTTTAAATATGTTTAAATGGCATCTTTTTACTAAGTAGTATATTATTAATGAAGTATTGATACAATACTGCTACTGGTGTCTCTATTAAATGCATTTACCCTCAATTTTACCTATTCATTATAGCCATTCAACATTACAGTATAATTGAAAGCCATTATTTTTAACATTTTGCTCCCGCAGATTTATTCTCCAAATTTAATTTCCTTGTCCTAAGCCTCTCTTAAGCCTCTGGGATACAATTATAGAGCTGCTGTGTGGAGAACGGCTGTCAATATGCAGCTTTCCGTGTATTGTTTGGCTGTGCTATTAGTGCTTAATTACTGGTGCAATCCAGGGCACTCTTCATAATTGTGAAAACTTACTTCTGGGAGATCTACCATTAGAGACCTGGCATCAAAATTCAATAAAGGGGTGAATTATTTGTCAATGATACGTACAAGAATTAATTTCACGCAACGACACATATCAATAAAAATCTTTCAGTAGGTATTCAACAACAAGAGTTTTCCCAAGGTAACACAAACTTGTGCCAAAACCCAGCATTCAGATCCCACTTTCAACACTAATTACCTTCTACAAGGTCACAAAAAAAAGCTTTCTGAATAGATTTTGCCTACAGATGTGCCTTGGTAAGCAGGTATATGATCATTACCAATGATATAAAGTAAGATTTACCTCAGCTTTAATCTTGTTGTCTCCAAAGCAGAGGTGTTGCAGATATGCCGCTGCGTTGGACTGAACTGAGGGAAACTGGTGCTGCAACATCTGAATGACTTCAGGTAATTCAGGATCTCGCCAACCGAATTCCCTACAGAAAAAGAGAGAGTAGGAGAGTGAGTTTCACACTTCTGTTGTACAGTAGGTGGTGAAATAGGACTTTTACTGTACGTTGTAGGCTGGCAGACCTGCACCATTACTGAGGACATCTCTAACACACGGAGGTTAAAGTGAAATAAATGTCTTTCCAGAAACTGTTACAGGGAAAATGGTTTCCATTATTGTGTTATTGCTCTAAAACAGTGGGCTCGGAGAAGTGGTAGGAGTTTACAATTGTGAATGCCTGTGTGTGTGCGCGTGAGAGTGTTTCTCTCAGTGAGAATGACTAGATTTGATCATTTTCACTGATGTGAAAAAATGGGTTTTGGGTTTCTGATGATCTACAGAACCCTACTGCAGGTATACAGTATATTATAACATACAAACACACATATGCACATAAACACACAGACATATACACACTAATACATACCAATATAATATTTATAATATATACAATATATATATTTTAAGTCCATATTAATACTGTATTATGAAATATTACAAATTATAATAACTGTTTCCTATTTTAATATATTTTAAAATGTAGTTTATTTCTGCATCATTACTCCAGTCACTTCAGTGTCACATGATCCTTCAGAAATCCTAATATGCTGATTTGGTGCTAGACTTTTTTTATTTTTATTATTATTATCAATGTTAAAAACAGTTGTGCTGTTTAATATTTTTGTGGTAACAGTAACAAAGAACAGCATTTATTTAAAATAAAATATTTTGTAACATTTGCTTGCTAAATATTAATTAAAAAAATTACACTAAATTCAAACTTTTGAACGATATAGTATATTAAAAAATATTTACAAATCTTTTTCTGTGTTACTGTGTTACCGTTACCTTTGAAAATCAACTGCTTTTTTAAGTGTAACGTGTTTTAGAAACTTAAAAGTTTAATTTAATTGAAATCGGAAACATTAGTGCTGACTGTCAATCAATTAAAAAAAATTATTAATCACATTTTTCTGTAATTAATCATGATTAATCGCATATTTATAGTCACAATTTCACATTGAACCTCCAAATTAATGTAGAAACAACATGAAGATAGTATATTTTAAATATGTTTAAATGGCATCTTTTTACTAAGTAGTATATTATTAATGATGTATTGATACCAATACTGCTACCCAGGGCAGGACTTAGGGGGGCGGGGGCCCCTGGGCTTGAGGTTATGTTTGGGCCCTATTCCTACACTACAAATGCCCTCAAATAGAATATCATTATGGAATAACACAAAATACACAAACATGTGCTTTGAGGTTCATAAATAGTACAATTAATATGCAACATGTCTATGCTATAGTCAAAGTTTAAATGTAACATTAAATATTCATTATAATATAATAAACAGGATGTGTTTTCTCAGTTGAGAGATCAAAACCCTGAAATAACTGAGAAAAAAAAAGCCAGAGATGTTGGCTTATTAGTATTTTAAAAGTTGTCATATATGTGTCCTCCTATGTGTCAGGTTCTTATTTAATCAATAAATTCAATCGAATAAAAAGACATGCTGGCTATTAACAATCAAATTAATTCACTATCAACAAAATCCATAGATGGATTGTGCAGAAATGTTAAGTTTAAATATAATATTTTAATGTAGAAATATTAAATGATTGCAAAAATGAAATAAGCTACTTTTTTTAAATATGAAACTACAACCGCCAGTAGGTGGCAGCAAGTGACTGTCTTAATGAGTGAGTTGAATCAATCGATTCGTTTAAAAAGCGGATTCAAGTTTGCAAACGACTGTACTTATAGCCTGATTGAATCATTTGCTGGTCCGTGTAATGCTGAGGAACAAAACACTGTTGTAAAACAGTGGGCTCGGAGAAGTGGTAGGAGTTTACAATTGTGAATGCCTGTGTGTGTGCGCGTGAGAGTGTTTCTCTCAGTGAGAATGACTAGATTTGATCATTTTCACTGATGTGAAAAAATGGGTTTTGGGTTTCTGATGATCTACAGAACCCTACTGCAGGTATACAGTATATTATAACATACAAACACACATATGCACATAAACACACAGACATATACACACTAATACATACCAGCAAAACGGGATTTTGTGTCTGAAAGTTACTCTTTAAGATGTTGTTTATTGTACATTTGCGATCGTGCAGATATTGGGAAAAAAAAACAGGACTCTTTTTTGTGTGATAGGCTAAGTCCTATATCATAGGCATAGCTATGTTATAAAAACAGAAACTCATTAAATTGCTATTTTTTTAATTTAAAATCATTTTGATGATATTTCTTCCCCACTATGTCTAATGGCAGTAAGACGAGAGAGAGCGCTCAAAACTCAGATGATCGCATAATTTAGTGGAACATTAATATAGTAATATAGAATCATCCTCTGTAAAGAAATGCAAGCCCAATGGTAAGTCCGGCCATGCTGCTACTGGTGTCTCTATTAAATACATTTTCCCTCAATTTCACCTATTAATTATAGCCATTCAACATTACAGTATAATTGAAAGCCATTATTTTTAACATTTAATAGGCTCTGAAATATTAAGTAATTTTAAAACAATCTTCACATAAACTATATGCATAAACTATACAGATTAATCTTGATTCAAGCTACAAAATTTAATCAGCGACTAGAACAGTCGAGTGATTTCTCTTTTTCTTTTGTTCTTTGATTTACATCAATGACAGACTTCAGCAGGTTTTACTTTTTTTCTCCAATATAGAAATAAGTCTAAAAAACAAGATTTGTGCCAACTCATTTTTTTATTAGATTTTTTTCATGTCCACTATAATGGACACCAGGACTGAAGAAAAATAAAAATCCCCATATTTTAACCATACATAATAAGTAGAGCTTGTGCACGATAGTTGAACTAGTGTTTAAGATTTTGAAAAGAACACATACTATAAGAATGAACAATGCAGTAAGAATGTGGAAAAAAAGGTAAGATGATATGAAGTCTCAAAAAAACCTGTTTGATCCTTTTTGTTGGTTGAAGTAGGTGAATCTGAGGATATGTATAAATGTCTTTGTGTGTATGTGAATGGGTTTATGTGTACTTGCTGATTGTTTTGATGAATATATGATTGTGTGCATTATAGCATCAAGGCATCAGTGTGTGTGGAGGGGGTGTGAGTGTGTGTGTTGCTGTGTATTCACTGATCTCACATCCACTATGGCTGTTTCTCACTAAAACCAATGAAAACTTGATTGACATGCTATGGTCACTTTGATGACATAAATGAAATCATATTAATATTAATTTCATTAATTAACATCAATGTTCATAAAACAGAACATTAGAATAGCTCTGCATTTAGCTTTCAAATACTTCCACAAGTTTCTCAAACGGTTATACAACTAATTCTTGAGGTGCTGCTGATATCTTTCAAGACCTGATGTCCATTGCAGTATGTGTGTGTATATATATATATATATATATATATCCTTTTGACATTTGCTTTTTTCCAATGTGAAAATAAGTCTAAAAAACAAGATTTGTGCCAACTCATTTTTTTATTAGATTTTTTTCATGTCCACTATAATGGACACCAGGACTGAAGAAAAATAAAAATCCACATATTTTAACCATACATAATAAGTAGAGCTTGTGCACGATAGTTGAACTAGTGTTTAAGATTTTGAAAAGAACACATACTATAAGAATGAACAATGCAGTAAGAATGTGGAAAAAAAGGTAAGATGATATGAAGTTAAAAAAAAAAACAGTTTGATCTTTTTTGTTGGTTGAAGTAGGTGAATCTGAGGATATGTATAAATGTCTTTGTGTGTATGTGAATGGGTTTATGTGTACTTGCTGATTGTTTTGATGAATATATGATTGTGTGCATTATAGCATCAAGGCATCAGTGTGTGTGGAGAGGGTGTGATTGTGTGTGTTGTGTGTATTCACTGATCTCACATCCACTATGGCTGTTTCTCACTAAAACCAATGAAAAGTTGATTGACAGGCTATGGTCACTTTGATGACAAATGAAATCATATTAATATTAATTTCATTAATTAACATCAATGTTCATAAAACATTAACATTAGAATTTGTAGCTCTGTATTTAGCTTTCAAATGCTTCCACAAATTTCTCAAACTGTTATACAACTAATTCATGAGGTGCTGCTGATATCTTTCAAGACCTGATGTCCATTGCAATGGACATTAATTTTTTTTTTTTTTAAATCCTGTGTTCTGCAACTCTGAAAGATCTTCAAAATAACTTTGAATATTATTATTTGATAGTCTTAATTTTACAATAGGTGCAAGTTGATGAGGCTACCATAAATATAAATCTGCATATAAAAGGTAAAATGTGGGCTTCCTCCTCTTCTTGTCTAGTTGGTTAGTCATGTCTCTCCTTTGTGATGCCTGTAGCTCAATCAGATTAAGTTAGGAGTCATATCTTCATTGTGATTGGTTGATCATGGACCAATCAGTGACCAGGCATTGCTCATATTATGAAAACATAAAATTTAATTGGTTTAAACAAAAAATCATATGATGTCCATTTCAATGGACGCAGGGTCCGAAGGGGTTAAAAGCAGCGTTGTCTCTTTAAAACCTGATGCACATGACGCAGATATCTTCTCCAAACTCTTTACGGTCATTTAAGACTTTATAACTCATTTAAGACTACGTTTACGAGGTTACTTGCCAAAACCACGCATTTTGACATTTGTGTACAGCCGAACGAGCAACCTTTTAAACTATAGCCTACTTCACTGCACCGTTTCTGCGGCGTAACCCCAGGTATGTGTCGCCACATTGTCGGGTTATGAAGAATAAAGAAGAGAAAAGTTCATCTTCCGAAATGAAGCAGCAATATCTTCTCAGGTAAAAGTTATTAGAACCGTGTCTAGGGACAAGCTGGCCATCACTCAGCTCTGACCTTATCAGCCCGTTTGTATCCTATTATTTGATTCGCTCTTGTCGTTTATGACAGAACAGGTAACCAATCACGATGATCTTGTCTTCGGAAAAGATT